GGTTTAACAGAAAATCAAAACAAATTAGGTCATTTCGGGACTGACATATGGTTCAATTTTATATCAATAATTCGCTTGCACGTGGGGTCCTTTAGCAGTGAGAGGAAAACAGAGGACCCAGAGAAAACCCACGAGGTTGGACAGGCGACCCTACTCCTTGTCACGTACAGAATTAACCACACAACCTAATATCATTTTTATCAATTTTCACATATATGCAACATGAAATGAAATGGTTGTTAATGTCTTACTTTTCTGCACCATCCAAACCAGTGGTCTCATTCCGTTCTACTCCACTATACCCTGGGTTCATACATGGGGTATTCACGTATTCATATTATCTACCCTTGATCGCAGCTTGATTCTATGAACCAATCAAAAAACAGTTTAAAACCAGCCTTAGCCTCATTGTTTACGTTCACAACAATATGGCAACTTGTTCACTCGATTATGAGAAAGTTTGCAAGAAATTTGATGTAAAAGAAGTGACATGCACTCAAAAAGATGTCCTAAAACATCTTTTAGATGGGTAAGATATTTTTATGTCAATCTAAACAGGCTGTGGCAAGTCGTTATGCTATCAAGTGTATTGATTGACAAAAATAGCACAATCATCAAGGGTAGATAATTTGAATATGTGTCTCCCCCATGGATGAACACCGAGTATATTGGAGTAGAATGGAATGAGACCACTGGGGATACCGAGGATGGCAAAAACTAGGCCAATGAGGACTTGTATACCATACGTCATGCAAGGTCCTACGAGGAAAAATGGGCCTGGTCAGCTGTGCTATGACTTATTCTTATTTCGAACTGCTGAGAGTTCTTTCACTTGCACGCCAAGTGTACACAGGACAACATGACCTCATTATTTGTCTCATACCAATGACTAGACACTGTTATTTGCCAGGCCCTATGCATAACTGACATGGGGGATCCACACAGAGAAATCCTTACAAACTTTCTCATTCAACAGGATCGAACTTGGGACCAGCTGGTTTTTAGCCACTGCCTTACTCACTGTGCCACAGTGTGGCTCCCAAGATCAATAATAAATCAATTATGAAATTTTAAGCAAATTCAATACAGTTGTCTGTATGTAAAATTTTGACTTAGATAATGGACACAGATGGCTTTTATTTGTAATTTGCATTGTCTACTACACTATACACTGTCTGTGTTTCGTTTGGCACTTGATTATATTGACCTTTATTTACCTTGATTACAGTATTATATTGTATTTACCTTGATTACGGTATTATATTGATCCTGATTGTATTGTATTTACCTTGATTACAGTATTATATTGACCCTGGTTGTATTATATTGACCTTGATTTGAAATGTATTTACCTTGATTACGGTATTTAGTGACCTTGATTGTCTTATACTGACTTTAATTACAGTATTATATTGACCTTGATTGTATATTTACCTTGATTACAGTATTATATTGACCTTGATTGTATTGTATTTACCTTGATTATGGTATATATTATTATACTGTATAATTGTAGATTGACTAGTTGTAATTTGTTGTTCATCTCTATATGTATTATATCTATCAACACCAGTATATAACATCCATGCTGTTCCTTCATGTAACACATCCTAGACATACAAATAATATAGTCAGTTAGGCATGGACCATAGTTTTAAAAAAGAGAGAGAGAGAGAGAGTTTGTGTAGGTCATTTCGAGACTAACATATGGGTCTTTAGCAGTGGGAGGAAACCGGAGGACCCAGAGAAAACCCACGGGGTTGACAGGTGACCCTACTCCTTGTCATTGTCATGTACAACAAACAACCGGGGAATCGAAATCCCGCCAGTTGACTCAATGACAGACCTTATGATACAACACGCATACGCTAACCATTCAACCGTCCAAGCCCCCACATAGTTCTACGAAACAATAGTTGGTGAAGTTATGACTGTTTGAATATGTAGCGAAAATCGTTTATTATCACAGCAACGGTACTTGACAACCACAACTTAGCCTCAATTTTTCATTTTATCGTGTACAAATCCATGTAAATCTCGTCCATCCGATGATCTTGAGAGTTGATTATAGGCTTGTCATGTGAATAAATGTCTGAATAATAGTTTATATATCAATTGAAGCCAGAAAAAAAGATCTGCAATATGAAATGAAATGGTTTTTTTTAACATTCTACTGTTCTGCTCTGACTGGGTTAATGAAGACGAGCATACGCCATGCAATGTGCTATGAGAGAAATTTTGCCCGGGCAGTGGCACTATGGCCTACTCTTATATCGAATTCCAACTGCCAAGGCATCTTTTACGTGTACACTAATGTGTACACAAAACCTCAATTTTACATCCCATCCGTACAACTAGACAGCTGTCCTTGTCAGGCTCTCCGTCCTATGCCCCTCACCAGGGGGAACCACACCAGAAAATACTGATGAACTTTCTCTGCCAACACCGGTAGCAAACCCACAGCCTTCCGACTAGCAAACCATTGTTTTACGGGACTAACATATGGTTTAATTTTATTTCAATAATTCGCTTGCGCGTAGGGGTCTTTAGCAGTGGGAGGAAACTGGAGGACCCGGAGAAAACCCACGAGGTTGGATAGGAGACCCTACCCGTTGTCACGTACAACCGGGGATTCGAAACCACGCCAGTCGACTCAATGACAGACTTATGATACAGCGCGCGCGTGCTAACCATTCGGCCATCCAACCCCCCTTTAAAGATGAGAAACAAGAAGTGTGAAAAACTGACCGATTTATCTACTAGCATTATACCACAATCACCATTGTTGTTTATTTGGTTACCATGGATATAAGGATTATTAGCATTCATTATCCAGACACCACATCCTGCATTTCCTGTTATAAATCAAAAAAAAGAAGTTAATCAAATTAACAACATAATTAAAAATTTCTTCCACTATTAATGATGTGTACAATGGCGAAGAAATGAATATAGTTCAACTACTAATTAACATTGTTTCAATGGCATTTAGTAATTGAACTGGAATATACAGGTCACAATTCTATGGAATACAATTACTGCTTATTACTATGTTTCGACTAGGCTTCTCTAGTCATTATGTCATTATCAAGCAATTATAAAATATGAAATATAACAAGACAATATTTAAATGTAAATTAACAATATTTGGTTAATGCTGACTAACCTTCTTTCAATGGCAACGTCCCCTACCAAATCAAAAGGCTATTAATTAATGCAACCAGAAATATGTGTATTTCATAGAATGGTGACCTGTGTAACACTAAACATCAATACCATACTCCATAATATAGTTAACACTTTCATAATTTAACTTTAGTACCAATTACAGCACTAAAGTTAAATTAACCTTATTAGGTTAATTTATTAACCTAACCTAAAGGTTATTAACCTTTTATGAACTCGTACCCCTTGAGTTTTCATAATATTTCCCCCTACCCCCTGACTAAAATGACCTATGTAAACAACGAAATTATAATAATTGATATGAAATACAACGTAAGCTTATTTATACAATGCGTTGAATACAATGGTAAAGACTCACCTGATATGATGTTATTTTCTAGGGACCCGATTCCTCTCTCACCAATAACAACACCATCTCCGATACCATTAACAATAGTATTTTCAATAACAATAGGATTAGCTTCATGACGTATATCTATACCACCCCACTGATTACCACGTATTGTATTATCTAGAATATACAAATATACATTGGTTACCATGTATTGTATAATCTATAATATACAATACACTCATTACCATGTATCTATAATATACAAATATACACTGATTATCATGTATTGTATTATCTATAATATACAAATATACACCGATTACCACATATTGTATTATCTATAATATACACTGGTTACCATGTATTGTATTATCGAGAATATACAAATATACACTGATTATCGCATATTGTATTATCTATAATATATATATATATATATATACACTGATTACCACGTATTGTATTATCTGTAATATATAGATATACACTGGTTACCATGTATTGTATTATCTATAATATACAAATATACATTGATTACCACGTATTGTACTATCTGTAATATACAAATATACACTGATTACCAAGCATTGTATTATCTAGAATTATCAATCGATCCAGTCAGTGGACAAAATCCATCTCATTGGAATGATGAGTAGACTGAAACATTCTTATAATTTTCATAACTGATCATTATTTGAAGGATATGGAATCGCTAGTTAACTACAATATTGTACAAGTTTTTCAATTCTATTCAGTATTCACAAAGATATGATGAATTAAAAATTTTGCAACAGTCAGCATCCTCCGCAGAAGATACAAACAATCCAGGGCCACCATTAAGTGTTGGATAAAATCTTCATACTAAACTGTCTACAGTTAGCTAAGCTTGAGATCAGACACTAAGTTAGTTGACTGACATTTTAAGTCCTAAATCAATAATTTTAGTCGAAAACACTAAGTATACTTCGAGAATTTTGTTAAGTATTTATTCTGCTTCCATTTAATAAAGTGAACATTTTTATTCAGTCTTTATGTGTATGACAGATGTCATACGGTTAGAACCCAGGCCCGTAGCTGGCGGTGGGGTTAAGGCCCCCCCCCCCCCCCCAGCTAGGGACAGGCCTGGAACCGCATTACAAAATAGTATAATATAGCAGCCATTCATTCTCGAATTATGATGGATCTTTTGAGGGGCCTCTTTCTAACATATGTGACCCGTGACAGCCTATTTTAACATTTTTGTTAATATCATAAAGACTCATTTTGCTATGACGGGTCACATATGATATATATCTATATACCTGTTATAATTCCCTTGCCTCCTTCATTAACAGCTATACCAGCAGCATGACCATCATATATATAATTACCACTAAAATATACAATATACATAAAACCATGACCATCATATATATAATATACATTATACATAAACTATGACCATCATATATATAATTATCACTGAAATATACAATATACATTATATCATGACCATCATATATATAATATACATTAAACCATGACCATCATATATATAATTACCACTAAAATATACATCAAACAGTCAATAAGTCACAATAAAAGTTAGACATACAGTTTAAGAGAGAGAGAGAGAGAGAGAGAGAGAGAGGGGGGGGTTAAGGTGCACTCTTTAGTAGTGGGAGGACCCGAAGAACACCCTTGAGGTTGAACGGGCGACAATACTCCTTGTCACGTACAAGCGGGGAATCGAAAACCGTGCACTTGACTCATTGACAGGCCAAATGATCCAACACACATGCGTTAAACATTCAGCCACCCAAGCTCCTACACCCAAGACCATGTTCAATAATATGTATAATAAACAAGCCCCCGGAACCCCACTGTAGATCACTATGCTAACAACCTGCCCTAAAAATATGGATTTCTGTCTGACGGGCCTGCAAAAAGTATGTATATTAACTTTTAAGATATGTGTTGATATAAAACTAACCTGATTGTTGGGTTCCCACCATATAAAAATAGTTGGGTTTCTACCATATAAAACTAACCTGATAGTTGGATTTCCACCATATAAAACTAACCTGATAGTTGGGTTTCCACCATATAAAACTAACCTGATTTTAAAACTAACCTGATTGTTGGGTTTCCACCATATAAAACGTAAACACCAGCCTCTTTATTTTCATAAATATCATTTTTCTCTATTTGACCACGCCCACTACCTAATACCACGATACCGGATCGTTTTCCATTGTGTATTCTATTATGCTGAAATATATACATGTATATACATCAAATACATGCTGAAATATATACATCTATATACATGTACATCAAATACATGCTGAGATATATACATTTATATACATGTAAATCAAATACATACTGAGATATATACATCTATATACATGTACATCAAATACATGCTGAGATATATACATCTATATACATCAAATACATGCTGAGATATATACATTCGGCCATCCAACACCCACCGGGTCTTTTAGCAAGCAAATGTGACTGAAATAAGAGTTCTGTTAAATAAACTATAAACATGTACTTATGGAAAACAGCTACTGATTTATTTAGGCGATGTTTCGAAGAGTATTCTCTCAACGTTTTCAATTATAGTTTATTTATCTGCCTAGTTACTAAATGTCACTTAAAGAAGAATAAGAGTTCTGTTGTGATCCATAGTAGTTTTTAATTTTATGGCACATCAAGTAATCAATCAATCAATCAATCAATCATCACAGAATTTCTATCGCGCAAACAATACTTCGATAAAGTTCCTAATGTGCTTTAAAGTTTATGTGGAAACTTTAAGTGTTTATTTTCGTCAAACTCAAATAGATTTGAAGATGTCTAGAGTTTTTGATTCTTTGATGTCTAATGGTAGAGAATTCCAGAGAAAAGGTGCTGCAATGTGAAAAGATTGTTTTGTCTGAAGGAGTTTGACAGCAGGAATAACTAATAATAACGTGTTCCATGATGTTAAGGTCCTACTAGATTCGTATGGAGTGAGTAGATCTTGAATTTATTGTGGCGCTTGATTATTGAGTGCTTTAAAAGTCAGTAACAGTATTTTGAATTTGATTAGCTGATTTATTTATGGGCAACTTGACTAATATGCAAGTTCTCCAGTCAGCGTGAATGACAGTTTGACAAGACAGGTAAATATGGTTGAAATGTGAGCCTTGGTGGGATCCATTAATGTCTACCTGTATAATATGTACCTTACCTGTATAATATGTACCTTACCTGTATAATAGGGTCAGCGTTTTTTCTAATATCTATACCAGCCTCTAGATTAGAGTGAATATCATTACCTGTAATACAATAATATCTACATTGTATATCAGCCTCTATATTGGAGGGAATATCAATCATTACCTGTAATACCTACATCAGCCTCTAGACTAGAATGTATATCAATCATTACCTGTAATACCTACATCAGCCTCTAGACTAGAATGTATATCAATCATTACCTGTAATGTAATAATACCTATAGCAGCCTCTAGATTAGAGTGAATATCATTCCCTGTAATACAATAATATCTATACCAGCTTCAAGGTATCATTTCTATACCTGCTTCAAAGCATTTGCAGGAGGGAGGTTGGGGGGGGGGGGGGCTAGCCAAGTTGTTTAACTTGTGCACTTCAAATCTTAAAGTCTGTTATTCAGTCAAGTGTTTGTGGTTTTAATCCAAAAATTGTGTGTGTGTGGGGGGGGGGCATTTGATCATAAGGTTTGTCATTGAGTCTAGTGACAAGGAGTAGGTTCACCTATCCAGCCTCGTGGGTTTTCTCTGGGTCCTCTGGTTTCCTCCCACTGATAAAGACCCCTTGTGAGTGACAAAGAAGAGGGTCGCCTACCTAACCTTGTGGGTTTCCTCCGTGTTTGCTGGATTGATCCCATTGATTAAGGTCACTTCACACAAGTGAATTAATGAAAAAGAGATGTCAAATTCAACTGTAAAAAAGAAGAAACTTACCAGCAACAAGTCCAGATGATGCTAGCCTCATGAATATACCTGATGTACGACAATGATGAATTTTATTCTTTAATATAATAACCTGAAAAAATAAACATTGATGAGTCTGGATGATCTAATCAATAACCAGTCATTGGTTTGACAGAAAAGCTCCTTCACAGGGGGCATGTGCAGGAATTTGAGCAGCGGAGGTTCCCAAGTGGAGAGAATGTCAAGTTTGGCATTAGGTCTGGGGGGGGACTACCTGCTTGGAGACAATATTTCTGTTCATTTAGGTGCATACATGTATAGGATTACAGTGCAGTGATCCAAAACGGCTTTATTTCATTTGAGGAAGTCACTCTCCTAAAAGATAGGTTGCCAGGCAAAGAAACATAAGCCTACAGCAGCTAAATCGTCCAGGCAGTCAACAAGTGTTGTCGCATATTTTTACTTCTTTTGGTAATGAAACATTTATAATACACTAAAATCTGATTAAGAGTAACAACTCATGAAGTAATTATCAATCTGAAGTCAATCGGATGATAACTTCAGCCTCTAGAGCATCACAAGATTTTTCAAAGTGATCAAGGGCCATAACTTTGGCAGTAATTATCAGAAATCGTTGAAAATCAATAGGATTCTTTGTCTCAAACACTGTAAAAATTTAAAGTCAATCGGATATTAACATTAGCCTCCGGACAGACAAACAGACGCACAGACAGGGGCGACGACAATATACGACCACATTTCAATGTGGGCGTATAAAAAGCAGAGTTATATCATAATAATCAGAGTGATTCCTTTCATTCATTAGGCAAAAAAGGGGTTTGGTGGCTGAAGGGTCTAACACATGCACTTTAGATCATAAGATCTGTCATTTAGTCAAGTGACATGGTTTCAATTTCCAGCTTGTATGTAACAAGGCGTAGGGTCGCCTGTCCAACATCGCAGGTTTTCTCCTGGTTTCCCGGTTCCCTCCCACTGCTAAACACACCTAAAGTTAACCATACGAGTGTGGAATCGCAACCACACCACTTGACTCAATCACAGACATGTTAGACCATTTGGCCACCGATCCAGCCCCGATAGCCTCGGGCCTGTTTCACGAAATTTTAACTAAGATAAAATCCAAATTTTAGTAATTTGATTGGATAATATTAGATTGATTTTAGTGCTTAGCCAATCAATATTGAAGTATCTACTAAAATTTGGATTTTATCATTAGTTAAAATTTCGTGAAACAGGGCCCTGAATTCTAAAAATATATTTTAGTTTAAGTTTCAGAGAATAAGTCCCCTGAGGTAAATAATTATACTGTACCTGAGCATTTTGTATACAGCGTATACCATAACTAACATTACTTATATCACACTCCGATATTATAGCTTGACCTTGTAGACTGACCATGACACCACCTTTACTATGTGACATTCGACACGCATGAATTAAACACCCTTTGACCTGATTTAACATATCTTTAGCCGTAGAGTCTTTTGTTAAATCGAATCTGATTGGTTTAAAATAACTACTATCAACAGAAAGGTTACTTTGTTTGTGTGATTTTTTTGATTGTGCTAGTCTCAGATGATGTTGTCGTAAATGAGGTAACATGATGACGGAGCCGTCAGATAAATCGTCTTCGCTATCTGATTGGATCATACTCGGAGAATCATCATCACTACTAAATGATGAATGATGCGATTGACGAGACTCTGAAATATAAAAAGTATAAATGAAACAAAATGGGGTATAATGTACTACTGGTTTTTTTGGGGGGGGGGAGGGGATGGCCGAATGGTTAGCACATGCACGCTCTATCATAAGGCCTGTCATTGAGTCAATTTGCATTGTTTCGAATCCCCGGTTGTACGTGACAAGGAGTAGGGACGCCTGTCCAACCTCGTGGGTTTTCTCCCGAGTCTTCCGGTTTACCTCCCACTGCTCAAGACCAATACGATACACACAAGCGTGTTATTGAAATAAAATTGAACCATGATAGTTAAAAAAATGAGTTACCTGGATCTGTGACAGAGTTAGAGTCTAGACCATCCAGATCATACAAAGACCCATGTGATGTCTCACTTATACTCCAAACTTCAGCTACACTGGCAGTTGTTAAAGATGCCGTGGAACCCACTGGATTTGACGGCGCATTGTTAACCCATTCACTAACAGACGACATTCTCTCTGTTACCACGGATACAGAGTTTCTTTTAACAGTGTCAGGTACTTCAACAACAGTAATAACATGTGACTCCTCTTCTTCATTTTCATTGGTTAAATTTGTTCTTTGAGTATTTTCATTGGTGCTTGTCTCTAAATCGCTTGATTTCTCCTCTAACACATCTGATTGGGCATGAGGTAAAATCAGATTTCGAGTGTGCTGGCACAGATACGAATATGTCCAGTTTTTGTCATCTTTCACATGTCCTTCAACGATAATGTCAGCAGTGTCGCTCTGCGAAAACTCACAATGTTCAATGACAGTGGCATTCATGTGTTGTAAAATGACGGCCGCATGACGAAAAGATGAAAAACGAACATGACAGGTACCTGGGTTTTGAGCGTAGATCATACCGTCTTCTAGAATACAATTATCAATCTGCATAAAACCAGATCTCACCTGGAAAATACAAAAACATCACTGTGGATTAATAAGGAATTATTATTATTATTATTATTATTATTCATCTTCTATAGCCCTTCATTATATCCGGTGATATTTATAAGCGCTTAAAGGCTCAATACCACTCTTGTTGTAACTGAATAATACATGTATGTCCTAATCTTTATTCTGGTCAACAAATTGTACTATTTTACAATATTCCAATTAACTGATGATACAAATTTCATCTTTACACACCTAATTTAAAAAATTGAAAAAATTCAACTAAATGATTTGAAAAGCCTGACGTAAAGCTTTTCAAATGTGACTTGGATTTAAAAATATTTTTGAACCCTTTGGACAAGTAAAATAGGATTTAATGGATAATTTACACAACAGGTAGGACACTAACACATCTAGTACTTAGAATAAGTCTATTTTTTATTTTCTGGAGCTGTCAAGCCAGCAAGAGTGTTATTATCCATTTAACAAATGTCACATAACAGTTTGTAATAATATTTAAACATGTGTGTTTTTAACTCTGATTTAAATTTAACAAAAGTTGAACTTTCTCTAATTGTTCTTGGTAGCTTATTCCACATATGGCCATGGGCACCATTTATAGGGAAAGATAATTTTCCTCTGAGTCTCTTGTAATCAGACACAGATAATAAGGTAAGTACATTGTATCAGTAGACGAACGAAGATTTGGTCTTTCCTGTTTGTAGAATGTAAATAACTGTTTCATGTAGGAGGGAGCAGTATCCAAAAACAACGCTTTATACACATTTGATAGCACTTTAACATCAATCTGGGCTTTCACAGGCAGCCAATGAAGACTTTTAAGAGTTTCTGTTACATGGTCTCTAGAAGATGACTTGGCAACTAGCCGAGCACAGTTATTTTGTACAACTTGAAGACGGTTGAGGGAGAAATCTGGAATGCCAGCCATGAGTCCATTTCCATAGTCCAACTGAGATATGACCAATGCTAATACAACTTAAGTTGTATTATTTCAAATAATCAGATAAGCCTACAGTATTATCACTGTTACTGTCAAGATCCCAGGTACTGATTATCATTTATCATTCTACTAAAGGTCAGTTATCTAATATTGTCAATGTGGTTGCCTTTAATTATTTTAATGGTTTCTTCTGCTTATTAATTAATTTGGTGTAAGCCAAAATATGTATAAATAGGCTGACTAGATGGATATTTATCATTAACTTGAAAACGTGACCTGTATGTGGTAAGAAACGTCATTATTTAATAATAGAGAAGTAGGTATATCTATGTTTTGTTATGAAAAGTCTACAGTTATTTGAAATATGAATCACTTAATCAAAGATTCTTCACTGAATTATCTCCCCTTAGATATAGAATACTGTATATTTGGAGAAGAAACTCATTTCAAAAATATCTATATTAATCAATCCAGCCTAAAAAAACCTAAATCAACAGCTTTTGATCCATGACCTCCATCAGTTATTTAAAATATGAAACAATCAGAGATTCTTCACTAAATTATCTCCCCCTAGATATATTATATATTTGGAGAAAAAATGGTGTCGCTCATTTCAAAAATATCTATATTAATCAATCCAGCCTATAACAAAAACCAAAAACTAACTCAACAGCTTCTGATCCATAACCTTCATCAGTATCAAATTTCTAAAAAATTACAGATAGAGAGTTGTCTCCCCTTAGACCACAGACAAGAATGGGATACAGCTGTAGCTAAAAAGTTAATTAATTTAGTTCTTTTAGTTTAGTTTTCTTGCACAAATAACTACCACGACAATTTGGTAATCAGGCTTTAATACAACAGAAAGTTCAACGACCGCCAGGTGTTGGACTATTCATTGCATTTAATATTCACCTGTGATAACTTTGTGTCAGTGAGTGCTATTATAGACAATGTGTTAAATAAACAATTAATTATCAAGTATTGGTTATTTTTAATAAAAAGTACATAAACACAGAAAAACAAATTATATCATCAGCAGTTGTCCTTGCTGGCAGTTGTACCGCCGACAGTTGTCCTTGCCCGCAGTTGTTCCCTCCGGCAGTTGTCCTTACCAGCAATTGTCCTTGCCAGCAATTGTCCTGCTCCCAATAGAAAACTAATAGACTAGGACCTTGTTTCTAAAGAAAGAGAAATTGTTTTACACTGTTTTTTTTTTTTCAATTAAAAACATCCACAAACAGCTGATTCTACGTTTCATTTGTTAAGGGGTTTTTTTTGGGGGGGGGGGGGGTAAAATATCTGTATTGCTTATTACTGTTCTTTCTAGGAGTATATAGTGTGCAGTCTATTATCAGCCAATCAATTATCTTGTTTCATAGATGACCCTATATCCTGTATTATAATATCACAGTGTAACCTAAATTAAATGTTTAAAAGATTAAACATGCAGAGTTGTCTCCCCTTAGACCACAGATTAGAGTGATATTACCATCAACTTAATTAATTTCTTTCTTTCAGGTTTTTTTTTTTTTGTACAAATAATTACAATGACAATTGTAATCTAAAATATTAGGGCATTGTTTAAAAACAAACGGCAATTCCCTTCTTCATTAGCCCAGTCGGTGCAGAAAAGTAGGACATTAAACCCCATTTCATTTGATTTCATTTTACATTGTTGGTTTTTGTAACATTTAATCCCTCTTATGTCATCTGGGGTTTTTTTTGCGTTTTTTGTGGATTTTTAAAAAAATATCTGAATTACTGTTCTTTGTTTAGGTATAGTATGCAATCTATCATCAAGTATCTTGTTGCATAGGGGAGGTGGGAATGTCAAATGGTCACCTGTCAAACCTCATGAGTTTTTTCTAGGCAGACCCATAACTAAGGGGGGGGGGGGGGCCCTGTGAAAAAATTGTCGACTATAAAAACAATAGATATACATTGTCCATCAAATTTACAGCACCCCTGCGAACACTTCCCGCCCCCTCGTTGCCCTGAGCTAGTTACGGCCCCCGTCTCTAGGTCTTCTGGTTTCCTCCCACCACTATGGATGCCATGCAACAGTTGCGGGGGCGGTGTTAAACCTCATTTGGAATTGAAACAATGAGACTTGTCTCAATGACAGACCTTAAGATTTAAAGAGCACTTGTTAACTTTGTAAACCATTCAGCCATCTTGCCACCCGATTTTGGATTATTGAGAAACGTGATTGAATTACCTTCAGTATAAATGATGTAAACCATGGAGCTCTTAAAACTAGATTACTGAGTCGGCCAGTTGGAGCAATCTGTTCAATACACACGACTAGAATAACGCTACCAAGTTCACCACATCCGACCAATTCAAAGGGAATTTTTGACGACATTTCAAACTGCTCGTCATATATACCAGGATGAACACATATCCGATCGTAATCATTAGCAACCAATAAAGCACTTCGAAGATTTTCATGTTCCTGACCTGGTCCAACATTTATCAATTTCTTAACCCTGTTTCTCTTCAGCACTGAAAGACAACTGACAATTGGCATGTTCTTTATGCCATTTTGCCAGAATTTTGAGGATAAATATTGTTCTTTGTACGCAAGTTTCCATGACGATGGCTCGGATTCGATATTAAGGGGCCATTTTGGATGTTTCCATTCCGTACTGGATAAATAGAGTTCTTTCCATCGAGTGGAATCGACACATCTCATAAAAGAATTCCATGTCTTGCAAACACAGCAGACTTGACACAAGTCCCACGCAGATAGACTCGAGAGAATAATTTGCCATAGCTCAAGGGGTAAACCGGATTCATCTCCAGGCAGGATTTTACTAGAATTTTCTGTTTTAATAGTTAACGTTGACATTCTGAATCACAGATCTTGTCTTTCATTCAATATTCATCAAAGATATTTGATTTGATCATATGTTCAGGAATCAAGTTCGGTCAATCGAGAGAAAATGGGGAAATAACCTGAAGTTAATAGTTAATGTTGATATCATTTTCATACTAGCTGTATACATTCTGTTACACGTGTAGAGCCTTCCCATGATTCATGAGTCGATAGAAACTGGAAGTAGGATACATGTACTTGACATCGTTTTCATATTAGTTGTTTACATCCTGTTACACATGTACAGCCTTCCCACGATTCCTTATAGGTGTCTACCAAAACTGAAAGTAGTATACATATAACTCTGAAACCGGAAGTGGTAGTGTAATACTACATGTATGGCACTTCCCAGCCAGAGCTTTCGTTATATCCAAAATTTCAAATGATATAGATGACTGTTGATTGACATCATACTGACGGAAATGGTATTGTCTTTTCTTTATGATAAGCTACCTGGAACCTGAAATAAAAATAATATGTCATCATTAAAGATATATTATCTATAATCCTTGAGTGCCATTTAGTAATTGAGCACATTAAAAAAACCAACACAATTTATATGGAAAACAATCACTGGTTTATACACAAATGATTTGTACTTGATAACGATAAGAGAATCCTTGTCATAACATCGTGCTATATGTGTATAAACCAGTGATTGATTCCTATATAAATTGTGTTTGGTTTTTATAATGTATCATGTAAGAGATAAATGGGGTTCCAAGTCCACATAAACTAGGTCATATCAGGACTAACATATGGTTCAATTTGATTTCAATAATTCGCTTGTGTGTGGGGGTCTTTAGCAGTGGAAAGAAACCGGAGGACCTGGAGTAAAACACAGGCGACCCTACTCCTTGTCACGTACAACCAGGGAATCGAAACCACGTCTGCTGACTCAATGACAGACCTTATGATACAACGTGCACGTGCTAACCATTCGGCCATCCAACCCCCCTATGCATTATGTAAGAGCGAAATGAAATGAAATGGTTTTAACATCCTACTGTTCTGCTCCGACTGGGATAAATAAGACAGGACAATTAAGAGCGATGGTCGTTCTTGCTAAAATAGTTCAAAAATACAAGACGGTCTTGACTGTCAAGTACCATTGCTTGATTATCTATTGCTTGGAGATAATTACAAAGAGACACTACATCCAGCAAGAAATAAAAATGGAATGAAATGGGATTTAACATCCCACTGTTCTGCTCCGACTGGGCTAATGAAGACGGGCATACGCCATACAGTGTGCTATGAGGGAAATTTTGCCTGAACAGCAGTAGGCCTACTACGCACTTACACTAATACTCTAATATCGATTCCAGATTATACTTTAGGCTTAATTTAAATTGGTAACATTGATATCATTGCAGACACCTTGAACACCAAGTGGGACTTAGAGAACTACACTTGATCACAACATTAATTATAATATAATACAGCCCTGGAAATAATGGTTTTGCATGTACCTGACAAAATAGTACCTGACATTTTCAACTTAGTGCTGGACAATAAAAAAGACAGAGTGTCGGACAAAATGACAGGCACCAAAGGTTTAGTGCCTGACAAAGCCTGAATCTGCGCCTGACATTGTCAGTGACAGGTGTCTTATTTCCAGGCTAGAGTAATATACAAATATAATATTAGGCCTATTATAACAACAGAGTAAATTTAACTAATTATTTATTTTACGGTACTTGAAAGAGGGTAAATATAATTTATAAGATAGGTCAGAATTATTAGCCAAGAAGGCAGTACATTTGTAGTGTACAGGAAACCTCAACTGCATAACTGCCACAAGACAAAGTCAACATAAATAACAGTAATTTAGTAAAACAGGTGACCAGCAACCAGGTGACGGTGTGCAAGATTGTAACTACTAACTAACTGTACTTAAGTCTTCTGTAGTAGGCTAATATTTTCGGCTAATCTTTACAATAACATATTATTAGATCTATTTTTATATAATATATAACCTAGATTTTGCAAAATCTCAAATACGGCATTAAATATCAGACAGTCAGGTTAAACACTTATTAATTCTTCGTTCGATGCATCGACTGCAGTCCTGAGTAGGCGATGTTGTTGTTATTATTGCTTCACCGGATATATAACGGTCTGCCATGTTTATGTGAGATGTGACGTCACACGAGATCTAAGATAAAAGTGCCCTGATCGAGCATAACTAGTAAACCACGGTATTATCATCTGACAACTGGCTTCCATTTGATTTAATTTTATTGTTTTAAAGTTAATTAGGTATCAACTTTACAACTGTTAAATCACCCGACAACGGATAGATCAAGAAATTGTTATTATAGTGGTTTTCAAGAGGGGAATATTATTCCTCCATGTTACGTCATATGCTAATTTCTGTGACACATCATGGCGGACAGATGCACGGTTGGTAACAGATTTCTTATTACAATGTATTCAGTTTTGGTTTTGGCTTCGATACTCTGTGTGTGACATGTCCTTTTGCTGCTGTAAGGCTTTTATAGTTATTGGTTGGTTTGTTAAGCGCTGTAGCAAATACGGCCAGTGAACGGAAAAACTATTTTACCGTTATTCGACCGATGTATGTTGGTCAATCATTATTATACGTCGATCCTAATAATGCTCGTGCAGAGACCGTGCGAGTGCAGTGCACTAGGGCAATAGGCTAGAAGTACAGCTGGACGGCAGTGACCGGAACGTCCTCTTTTGCATAGCGTGACAGACAGTGCAGAACTGAATGCATTGGGCACGTAGAAAGATATTAGAGCAAAATAAATACCCCAAATCTTATTCAATTTTTGGCAAATCAGTTCATATCGTGTCATACTCATAACATCAAAAGTTCAGGGCCACATTATTAGGCCTACACAAGTAGAAATTTCTCTTCTTGTAGTGATTCGAAATAGGCCTGATTCAAGCAAACCCTAGCTATGCAACCAGTTTTATCTCTCTGAAACTTTTCAAACTGATGCACCTGGTACATTTAATTCTGAAATATAATACCCAGCTGTCATACATAATGGAAAGAGATTGAACAATGTTTGTAATACATTATAATTTGTCATTTTATTATGTAGGTGTATTATGTCAAACAGAAATATACTATTATTATAGGTCTATCAGTATCAGTTTGTCTTTGAAAAACCATAGTTAACAAACATTATGTAAATCTCAACATTTGTTAGGATTTCAGTTGATGTTAAAGGGGCGTTGTGTGGACACATTTCAGCATGAACATTGAACACAACCACCTGTAACTGAGAGTGTCCTGCGGGGTTGGGTATTCTAGTGGTTTAATGTCACGTGCACGTGGAATCATTGAGTCAAGTGACATGGTTTCTATTCCCTGCTTGTATGTAACAAGAAGCAGGGTCGCCTGTCCAACCCCATTGGTTTTTTCAGGTTACCTCCCACTGCTAAAGATCCCTACGACTATGAGCAAGCGAATAATTGAAATGAAATTGAATGATACATGTATGTTAGTCCCCAAATGACCTATGCTAGTTTGTGTCCTGTGAACGTTAAACCCCATTTCTCTCTCTCAGACGGTGTAGGACTGAAACTTCGCCCTCTCATTCTCCTCTTGGTTCTACTTTCTCTGTTTCATTTTTTTTTGTGTTTTATTTATAGGAGCTGTCCCAAATAGAAAACTGTTTAATTTTGTTAAAGATACATTATGTAAGATAAAAATTTAGAAAAAGAGCTAGCCATTCTTACTATAATAGTTTGTAAATAGATTTAATTCAAATTACTATGTTGCGAACAAAACTGTCCATAATTTTTCACAGTTGATCAAAAAGTCCTTTGCCAAATTTGATTAGCAAATTTATAAATTAATTAGCAGTTTTTCAGTTTCAACATAAAAAACAGGTGTAGCAAGATATTACTTTAATTCATAACAAATGATTAGATTCTATTCTTTTAGATCTTTTAGCACTGCTACATGTAGCTGTGACAGTTTGTGAATGTGATGTAGACTTTTGGTTAGGCCTTATGTCTGAAGCCAATTCTTGGCAGTGACTTCCGAAGCTTCACTCATTTTAATTGTTATTTCTTCGATAGGTTAGAAATCTTCGTTAAAAAACAATTTCGTCTGGTTTTTTTATCATGTGTTAATATGTTTGTTCAATCGGACACACGTGGAAATTAACAATTAAACTTGATTAACTAACTAGACACATGCAATATAAACAATAATATTTTACAGGAATTCTTACTTTGATTTCTCATTTTACATTTACGTTTACATATATATATTATATATTATTTACAATATGTTGGGGATACACTGGATTTCTTTTTTTCAAATTGAATAGTTATATAATTACTCGAAATTGACATGTCTCGCAACATGAGTGGTACTACTTGATTCCCTATTTCCGGTTTAATAGTCCCTAATTATAGAGTTATGTCCCTGTATTATATAGTATAATGAATCAAAAAATGTAAGATTTTAATTTTTGAATAGCGATGGACAAAATATTTATCGCAAATTGCGTGACGATACTGGTTGTCGGCAGCGAGCGAAGATATTAGCCTTTGAAAGTTTGACAAGATGTGTGCACGGATTGTTATCACCATACTGGTTGTTTGAAGCTATGGCATGTCTGTTAGGGGCAACCCACCGCACAAACTGTCTGGCAGTGGTCATTCAGGATTCATGTGATGGTACTGAACAGCTCCAAAGCTGTTTTAGGTGGCACAGATTTGAGCTAATATAGCCTAGCTTTGGTCTGGAAATTAGATAACTTTTGTCAGGGATACGCCATCACTACAAATGTCTGGCAATTACATAGCTCTGTCAGGGGTACCCCACCACTAGAAATGTCTGTCAGAGTGTTTTTGTAATACCTGAAGATGTACGGTACATTGCTGTGCGATTTTCATGTGGTACACTTTTGAGCTAATCTAGACTAGTTGGGGGGGCATGGCATTTTGGGCGTGGAATACCCCACCCACAACCAGAAACCCGGCAGACTTACATTCTGATGATACCAGATATACATACATTGATACCACATAGGAGAAAATTGGTACACTTTTCAGCTAGGTTAACCGCCTGGGCTCCTGCTCTACTAAGCCTCGCTTCGCCATTTTCAAATTAAATCAAAATTTTGAACCATTCTAATCTACATGTACAGTACATGTACTTATATCAGAGATATCCGATGGCATCCAGAGTTGATTATGGTCTTGTCATGTTAATAAATGTCTAATTAATAATTTAGATAACATTTCAGGCCTAAAGAAAGACCGGCAATACGCAGATTTAGCTCTTGCATAATGCATGTTTAAACACAAGAGTTCTATGAAAAACAATTTAATTGGAGCTAGTTTTACAATGATACTAAATTGTATTTAATTTAATGGGGGGGGGGGGCGTGGATGTTAGTTCTAAAATGACCTAGTTTTTGTCAAGTGGATGTTAAACCCTACAGTGTATTTCTCTCTCTCTCTCTTTTAGTTGAATGTGTTAATTTCTACATGCTGTTTAAACAGTAGGTTTAATTCTGTGTGATAGACGCACAAACTATTACAATTTAGTTTTTTATTAATTGAGTAATTTATTACATGGTCAGTGTGATAGGTGACATGATTATAAACAGGAATCTTAAGCACTGTAACCCAGGTATCATTTAATTTTGTGTATCTAGCACTAATTTCTTTCACATTCGTTTACATCTAATTTGTATGTGTGTCCAGTTTAAAACCGACCATTTAATTTTGATCTTGAGTGTCCAATTTACAAGGGTTTAATTGCTCGATCACTGTTAAAATATAAACAACCCAATCGATTATTTATGTATAATGATTCATTTTTGAACAAGTAGTCAGGAAATTAAATACTTCACTTGTAAATTGGAAACTCATTATGAAAATTAATCAGTCAGCTTTAAAGTAGCTAAGTCTCTAACTCAATATCATCCAAAATCTTCGACATTGAAAACACGATTTATTTGTCGGTTTAAATCAACATTGATGTTGTGATCTTACCGGGAAAAGATGTCCTTCTGATATCCAATATTAAAGACAAAATAAACATTTTACAATTGGTACACGAATCGTGTACCATAATGCGTTTAAGCGCTATTTGTAATAAGGGACTCGAAAAACGAGGCTAGGCATATCAAAGTCATGTCAAACGGTGACACTATATTCTTATCTGGAGAACATGCCCAATAAATACTAATGGCGTAGACTGGAATAACCAGAGCTAGAGATTTAAAATTTGATTAAGAATACTGGCATATTTTGCGGAACCTAACCAATTAGATATTACAGTAAAAACAGAAACGATTGAATGTAAATCAATTTATCATTCGCATTACATTATTGTATGCGTTGCGACCCATTTGTGTCAATTTCTAGGTCCCAAATATTAGCGACTTACCTCCTTTAAACTAGACACAAGTACAAATTAGATGATTTAGGGTGACTTTAAATGATTTTTACTAATTTTAAACGCAGATTTGATATTAAACGAATGTGAAAGAAATTAGTGCTACATTGTACATGTAGTTTTACACAAGATTAATTGATACCTGGGTTACAGTGTTAAAGGGACAATAACACTCTTGCTGGCTTGACAGCTCCAGAAAATAAAAAATAGCCTTATTCTAAGTACTAGATGTGTTAGTGTCCTATCTGTTGTGTAAACTATCCATTAAATCCTATTTTACTTGTCCAGAGGGTTCAAAAATAATTTTAAATCCAAGTCACATTTGAAAAGCTTTATGTCAGGCTTTTCAAATCATTTAGTTAAATTTTTTCAATTTTTTAAATTAGGTGTGTTAAGATGAAATTTGTATCATCAATTAATTGGAATATTGTAAAATAGTGCAATTTGTTGACCAGAATAAAGATAGGAACATATTATTCAGTTACAACAAGAGTATTATTGAGCCTTTAAGGTGTGTTTGAATAATGATCTCTATAAGCTTGCTATAGTGTCAACTTAGTAATATTATCATCCAGGTTTTTTTTACGATGGTTGTTTGTCAATCTGTAGATTCTAGTAATAACACATCTACACGTAACTATAGCTGCATTTACACTGGACCGCAATTAGCATACCACACTCAGAACTGTCAAGGTTGCAATAAGATTCAAGAAATTGCGTCGTTTACA